GCAGGAATGTGCCAACTGCAGGCTGGGGATCAGCAAACAGTCCAGACCATCTTCTGCCCCCGTATCCATTTGGAGAGCCGCTGGTTCAGGTGCCACTCCATGCCGACAGCATTGAGGGTATAAGGGCTGAGTAGGGTCATGGAGCTCACAGAGTGGGCAGTGTTGAGGAGAAGCTTGGGGAACGTGCAAAAGTGATCAAGCCGTGGGCCAGGGTGAAACCAGCCCAGCCTGGGAGCAAGGGAGGGGTGTGTGCTGGAGCCTGGAGGTCCGAGTCCAGGCCACCTTGGGGGATGGAGTGAGTTTCCCAGGCTGGACGGTGTGTGTGGTCAGGGGGCTCACTCCACAGGTGAGCCCTGCCTGCTCCGTGTTCCCAAGTTTGTATGGGGCCACCTGGGCCCTTCACTCGACCACTTTGATGGGCAGCATGCCCTTGATCGCGGAGAACTTGTTGCAGGAGAAGGTGACGAGGAGCTGCTTGGTGCCACTGCGGGTGGGCAGGATCTCAAACTTCACCTGGGACTGCTCCCTGGGGCGCAGGTTTGGCATGCTGATGGGGAAAGGCAGGAGTCAGTGTGAGGCCTCAAGTTCTGCTCTGGTCAAGGTCACTGCTCCTTCAACTCCCTCTAGCTGCCACCCTGGGTCATCAAACCCCTTCAGCTCTGGGACCCCTCAGCAGGGGAAGGGGCAGTGGGTGGATCCCATGATCTCCCAAATATGAGGACCAGCTCTAAGCTCTGGTGATGTGGACTTCCCTTGAGTTCAAGTTTGGTGAACCCCCAAACCAAATGAAAACGTGTATCCCTATGTGCAGATTCCCAGGTTCAGAGGCTAGGGGAGTGCTGTCTGCCCTGCCCTGGGCTCTGGGGAGGGCCCCTCTGCCCCCTCTCCCACCATCCCACACTGGACCCTCAGCCTGGGACTCACTCGATCTTGAGGGTGCCCAGCAGCAGGCCACTCCCCTCCACTATCAGCTTGCAGTCCTTCACCAGCTCTTCCAGCGGGTTGGAGAAGAGCATCTGCACAGTCACAGGCTTTTGCACGTGGGCCTGGTCCAGCACCTGTGGGGAGAGGGGTTGACAGAATCAGGGCTGGGCTGTTCATTTCATCTGCACTTGATGAGAGCCGACGGGGCTGCGCCGGAGGCTTGGTGATGGGGAGGATGTTGCTGAGGACAAAGGAAGGGAGGATAACGATCCTTAGGAGGTTTATTCCTCCTAAGTTCCAGCGACATCCACGCAGGGGGTTCCTAGGAAATTGCTGTCATCCCCAGGATACAGACAGGACACCCAGGCGTGGAGGAGAGAAGCAGCACGTCGCAGCGGCTGAGAGGGCTTGAACTCCCAGCTGGGTTCATGGGCCCTTTCTTAGTTCATCTCGGGAAGGGCAGCCCCCACTTCCGAGGACGTGCCACATGTGGTCTGCACAGGGTCCTTGATCAGGGGCTGGAGAAACCTAGGTTTCTGGTCAGAGAAGCACCCTGGTCATTTGTTTGCTCCCAAAAGATGAAACCT